AAGCGCTTGTTCATAGGGGGTCATATGACTGTTGTTGTAGTGCAGCTTTTTCCAGCTCAGGTTTTATTGCATGATAAAGACGGTCATACCGAATACTGACTATTAAGCTTGTTGGAATTGTACCGACTATCCCATAGGTTGTATTCCCATGTATGTTTGCTATTTGGCTTGAGACTTGTACACAGCCTGCTACAGTGGCTTCTACTACACATACAAATAATACGGTGAAACTTTTGGTCGAACCTGAATCTGCATTTGAGAATTTTGTGTTTATTGTACCAACATTAGTCAAAATAAATATGTCCTCAGGAAGTCCTTCACCTTAACTGGGACACACGCTTGAAAGATTTATGCAGCAGCACATCTGATATCTGTGCACTGTGACGTATTCTCAGCACAAAGTACAAAGTAACAACTTCACTCACTGAATCAATGCTTTGTGCGTTTGTACAGTTCACAGATTTGAGAGCTGTGTTATCATTGAAACACCTGAGGAGAATCTCTGCGTGCTGACAAAGAGCTTCCTGGAATATAAGCAGAAAATATTTGGTTAAAGCAGCATGTGAAACAATGACAGCATAGTTTCATGGCTATGAAATCCATTTAACCAAACGATACTCAAAATGAATTTCTTGTCTAAAAGCCATAAATGTCTGAAGTTCTTGGATCTGAACCTAAAACCCTCAGAAACATGGCGTCTAACCAGGTACGTCAGTGGATGACATCATCGTGGCTTCCAGGACTCGTTCTGGAGTCATTTTTGACCAGGACATGTCAGACCACGTTTTTCCATCTGTGGCCAAAACTAAAAATGTCCTGTGATACTAAGAAACTAAAAACTGTCAGTTAAATTTTTTCTGACAAAGTTGTTGTAAAAGAAAAATAGATCAGGTGTTACGTCAGTGCTGCCCGGACATCATCACCTCTTTTTAACTCTTCCTTAAACATGAAGGATCGATCTATCTCTACTTTCAAGATTAGGCTTCAAACTTTCCTTTTTGCTAAAGCATATAGTTAG